CACCCACCCACCTGTCCCTGTGGACCTCCTCTGAGCTGTCTATTTCCCTTGGAGGCTGGGAAACTGAGGCCTCTTGACAGTTGAAGTGTGGGAGTTATAGACCTTCTTAGCTGTCGACTGAGCCTAAGCAGACTTCTCTTTCTTCCTCAGCCGGAGAACATACTGTGTGTCACTCAGACGGGACACCAAATAAAGATCATTGACTTTGGGCTGGCCAGAAGGTAAGGGGTTGTATTTTGGCACTTTGATGGAACTCCTTGGAGACTGTTTCTCTCTCTCTTTTTTATTTTAATTTTAGACGAGGCAACCCTTGGTTGACCTCACAGATTACAAGGACCTTGTCAGTTTACAATCCTTTATTTTTTTATTTTTTACGCCTATAGCACCCGGTCTTCCTAGGGGGTCTCCCATCCAAGTACTAACCAGGCCCGACCCTGCTTAGCTTCCGAGATCAGACGGGATCAGGCTTGTTCAGGGTGGCGTGGCCGTAGACTCTGTCTCTCTTGGCCATGGTACCCCACAGTGCTTCCCCTTCACTCAGGTCCTCCAGGTCCCCACAGTAGTGTCCCCAAACCTTCAGCCACCCACAGTCTATAAACACGGCAGGAGTCACATGCCCGTCGTCCAGGCTTCCGCCAAGAGTGACGCTTCTCTGGAAAGCACATGTTTTCTAGGCAACTCTTCACATCATGGCTGAATTTTCTAGTCTTAAAATGATCTCTCGTCCTGGTGGTCACTTTCCACAAGGAACGGTTTGTCACTTCATGAGCCTTGCAGCAACTTCCGTCCCACCCTCAAGGGAAAGAAAGCAGAGTTTTGTCCCTGTGGGGTCAGCCGCTCACCTGAGCTCGGCCTCTGGTGTCCAGCGTCTGCCTCCCAGAGGTGGCGTGCAAAACGACAAGGCCGTCTCTGGGTTGCGCCCCCACTGTTGAAGTGGTAAATGTCACCTCTTTGCAGGGGTGAAAGGTGCACGTTCAGTGCCACACGTGACGGGGGGGAGACCAAGCGTACTGTCATTAGAGGAACAGCGGTTCCTATCACCCGCCTGCGCCCTCGGGATCCCCGTTACGCCGTGTGTCTTTCGTGAGCAACACCGAAGTCCTCAGCCCTAATGCTTAAAAATCACGTTTGATCCGTAATGTAAAACAATTGCCCTATGTTTTACCCAATACCGTCTAATAAGATTGGGCCACAGCTGGGAGACCCGATGGGCCCGGGCTGTGCCGGCGCCGCGTCCGCCTGCGCCTGGCTCTCTCAGCTGACACCAAGAGAGGAGACTGCGTTTTTGTTTTTGTTTGTTTGTTTGTTTGTTTGAGGAGACCGCGTTTTAAAAACTCACTTCCCGGCTTGAGGAAATCGGGGCCCGCTCGCTGGCAGCGCAGTCACTTTATCCATCTCTGTTCCTCCACGGCCTCATCTGTAAAATGGGGACAGTCATCGTACCTGCTCGCGGGGCTGTCGTGAGGATGAGGCGTTAATGTATTTAGGATTTTAGCCCAGTGCCTGGCATGTCGGAAGTGTCCTTTAATTTTTTTGATTAACACTTTATGTTTTAGAGCAGTTTTTGTTTCGCAGAAAAATTCAGAGAAGAAACAGACGGCCCACGTCCCCTCCCCCCACACGTACAAAGTCCCCATCGTCAACATCGGTGAACCCACACGGGCCCGTCGTAAGCACCCAGGTCTGACCTGCGCACGGGGCTGCGTGCTCAGGGTGTGTGGACCCCTCCTCTCTGGACTGTGAATGCCAGAGCAGGGGGACTGTGGCTCCTGATTCTCCTTGGTCCCTTGGGACAGCCTGAGGTTGGGGCCTGGGGCAGTGACGATTGATTCCCAGCCAGCCAGGACTGTGGTGGCATGTGAGGTCCAGACGGCACACAGACAGGAAGTCCTGGAATGCCCGGCTTCCCCAGGGGTAGTCTGGCCTCTGTGGTCTCCTGGTGTCCCAGGGCTCACTGCTGTGGTCCCCGCCCATCCCAGGTACAAGCCCCGGGAGAAGCTGAAGGTGAACTTCGGGACCGCCGAGTTCCTGGCCCCAGAGGTTGTCAACTACGAGTTCGTCTCGTTCCCCACGGACATGTGGAGCGTGGGGGTCATCACCTACATGCTGTGAGTGCCCCGGCCTGGTCCCCGTGGGGATCGGCCCCCGTCTTTGACCATCATAGAAGCCTAGAAGCAGCAGACAGTCAAGTGCGAGTCACTTAGTGGGAGGTGTGCCCAGGACACAGCGAGAGGTGGGCGGGAAGGGAGGCCGCCAGTGGGGAGCGTGCGTCCAGCCGGCACCCACCCGGGCAGCTGGAGTTGGGTCCCCAGGGAGCTCTGGGATCCATCCCGGCATAGTCCCTCCGCCATTTCGTTCCAGGGGTGAGGGCGTTGGGGTGCTTACATACCAGCTCTTATCAGCTGTTGCTCCTGGGCCGATCTCGGGGGTGTTAACGCCCTGAAATTTTTGGACCCACGGGAGAGAAAGCTCTGGGCAGAGAAACATGGGTGCTGCGGTACAGGTGGGGCTGGAGTGCCCTGGGGCAGTGAGGAGGGGTCCCCACATCATCCTCCCCACCTCTCCCCTGGGCTGCCTTGTCCCTCCCCTGGGCTGAGGGAGCGGAGGCGGGATGGGCGAGAGTTTGTGCATAGACTTGACACCTTCCTCTGGGGGGCGTCCCTCGGCTGTTTCCTCAGTGACCCAGCAAGGTCACACTCCGCTCCCACTCTTGTCACTAAGGCATCACAGCGACCCTGTGTCCTCACGCTTTGTATTCCTGTGCTGTGCCAGGTGGGGAAGTTGGAGGCCCTAGGCCAGCCGTTTAGGGAGTCCTGCTTGTCTACCCTCACTCTAGAGCAGGGGTCCCCAACCTTCAGGCTACAGACTGGTACCGTCCGTGGCCTGTTTGGAACCGGGCTGCACAGCAGGAGGTGAGCAGTGAGCCAGTGAGTGAGGCTCCATCTGTATCTGCAGCCGCTTCCCAGCGTTGGCATCACCGCCTCAGCTGCGCCTCAGATCATCAGGCATTAGATTCTCACAGGAGCACCAGTCCCTGGGGCCACAAAGGTTGGGGACCGCTGCTCTGGAGGAGTGTAATAAAGCCAGCTTTCCTGTGTCCCCAGGGGCCTGGGCGTGTCTGTGCCCACCTGGCTGTCTCAGAGACACGCTACTCAATCACCATACACCTGATGCGTGGTCGACGTGCTGGTGGGGCCCCAGTTACTCTTTGCTCCAGGGGAGGGGGACAGGTGCGCGTGACAGGGGCTCGATTCCAGCACTTCCTTTCTGCAGCTTTTCGTCCCTCCCACTTCCTCCCTTCCCGAGAGGGGACAGGGCCATTGTTCTCTTGAAACTCTAGGATCTGATCACTTCCGCTTGAACGTGTAGATTCCTCTCTACCTTCGACGCGTGTTGGCGGCCTGGCTCCCGCACGTTGATGGTCCTTTCTCTCCTCCGTAGGCTCAGTGGTTTGTCCCCGTTTCTAGGGGAGACAGATGCCGAGACCATGAATTTCATTGTGAACTGTAGCTGGGACTTTGACGCCGACACCTTCGAAGGGTTATCAGAGGAGGCCAAGGACTTTGTTTCCCGGCTGCTGATCAAAGAGAAGAGGTAGCCTTGTTGCCTGTCACTTGCGTGCCATCCCGATGGTGACCGCTGACTGGTGACCGTGACGAGCAGGTGTGCCGGGCAGGTCCTTTCTTCCTGTGGGTCGCTTCTGTCCAGGATTTCTTACCCTGCCGCTCCTTTGGAGCAAAAACGTAGCAGGCACAGTGACAAAGGAAGTAATTAAAAAAACAAGTAGGAGCACAAAATTTAGGTAGTTTTAGAAAGGTCCATATTTACAAATTAGTCCTATTTCCAAGTGTTCACTTTTAATAGGCTAGTGTTGAAGAAAACGCTGAGCCGCGCAGATGTCACTTTCGAGAACAGAGGCCAGAAAACCCCATTTCTCAGCGAGGAAGGGCCGCTCGGTTTTCAGCAGCTACGTCAGTCATGGTGGAGCCACCCATGTGACTGATCCGCACACTGGGGACGGCTGCGCATGGCCCAGGAGTGAGGTCCCAGGTCTGGGCTCCGAGAGCTCCTGCCTCCCTGGCCGTCACTCATTTCTTTCTGGCTGTGAAAGTCAGGGAGTTAAAGCGTTTCAAATTCGGACGCACAAGCCGACTATTTTCCCTGGAAGGAGAGACGAGCTTCCTTCCGTGCTCATGTTTTCACTCCTTGGAGCAACTCCAGGCACAGCTGGCCTCCTCCGGCCCTGCCTGGGTCCCCACCCCCAGTAGCGATCCGTCACTGGGATGCGGTCCCTCCACAGCACGAGGGGACAGGGACGGTTTGCTGATGACTCCCTTGCACTCCTAAGGAGGGGCGTTTTGGACGCCAGGAGCTCCCCTCCTGGGTGGTGGCAGGAGTCTGCCCAGCGGGTCCCCCCCGTTCCACTGACTCAGGCTTCCTGCCCCACTGGACTGACTCCGGACAGCTGACCTTTACTCGGCGGCTCCAAGTAAACGTGTCCACTGTTCGATTTCACAGCTGCAGGATGAGCGCCACACAGTGCCTGAAGCACGAGTGGCTGAATGACCTGCCCGCCAAGGCTTCGAAATCCAAAGTTTGTCTCAAATCGCAGCTCTTGCTGCAGAAGTACATGGCTCAGAGGAAATGGAAGGTATCTTTTTCTTTTAGTAAAAGCAGCATTTGTCTTCCTAATATGTCCTTCGAAAGAACTCTAGCTAAGTTCTTATTTACATTTTGATTCTAAATACATTAAGGGGAAAAAACCCCTCTCACGTCCAGCTGTCAACTAGAGTAAAAAAACGCTCCAGACCAAAAAACGACGACCATAAAAGTGGCATTTAGTCTGTACTTAGGTGACACTTGAAGTGACAGAATGAAGTTGGAGCACTCGTTCTCGGTGACAGTAGTAGCCACGTGCTGGGAACTAACTGCATGGAGCCCGAGGCCTGATTCCTGCCGGGTTCAGAGGGGCCGGGACAGCCCTGTGTAAAAGCTGAATCATTTTGTCTCCTACGGAAACTCTTTGGTGCCAAGGACATAAAATCTGTCTTAAAACTATTGTCTCCCAAGTAGCTTTCCGACATTTTGATATCAACTCAGATCCTTGTTAATAAACGAAATGCTTTACCTGGAGCACCAGCACACAGTGTCACAGATGCACACGCGTGTGACGCAGACAGCACATTTGCTTCACAGAGTGTGATGCACTCTGACGTTTTGAACGACGGGTTCATTCAAAAAAATCCTGGTCGTAACCCACCGATCTGATTTTGTGACCCCTGTGGGCTGCGACTCACCCTTTGAAAAACCCCTTTCTAGAGCGCTCCGTTTTTCTTGTGAAAAGGATAATGTATTTTCTCACTTCATACTTGCTCCAGACAGGCCCCTTAAGGGCATGTGACCATTCCAGTATTATTTTGCTAGAATCTTCTTTTCCCTTTAGGTTATCAGTTTTAAACAAAGCCAAGTGCCTAACTTGCTTAAATCCTTTTATTCTTTTATTCTTTTTTTTTTTTAAACAATCGGTCAAAAAATATGCTGTTTTCCCCTTTTTTTACCTCTCATCTCAAGAAACATTTCTACGTGGTGACTGCTGCCAACAGGTTACGGAAGTTTCCGACCAGCCCGTGACCGTCAGCTCTGCCGCCGCCGTGGGCCGAGGGCCGACTGAGACCCGTGGTGACGTGACAACTCGAGAGTTTAAGTAATCTGGCCTCTCACCAAGATCGAGTCCACTTATTTCATAGAAAAGGCTGTGGCCATTGCCTTCCTTGGGGATGAAAAGTCTCTGTAAAGAAAGTGACTTGGTGAGAACTTCTTTCCCGCCTTTTAAGATCACTAAGTTTGAGATGCCGTGTTTACTCTTCAGGTATACCTGCTTTTGGTGATACGTGTAGGCATGCTGTAGGTAGGTAGGAAAGCTGCTGCTTTGCGTATGTCAAATTCTAAACATGCTCTGACTAAAGAACATGACAGACTGTTCCACAGGGGCAGGGCACTCGGTGTTACTGCCTTCAGTACAGAGAGTTCCTAGAATTCTGACCTGCTCAGGTGTGGGTGACCTTCAGGGCAGTGATCCTCGTTTTAACTTGTGCTCCCTTTGAGACTCAAAACGTGCATCCTTTAATAGTCTTTGAAATTGCACAATCTGCCACCGTTGCGGCTAAGTCAGGACAACGACCATTTTGAATGTGCTTTTAAACTCTGTACCCACCTGCACCTCTCCCTGTTCTGCCCTGTCCTGCCCTGTCCCAGCATCGGCAGGACCCCTCGGATCCCCCTGCCTCAGTGACAAACCGATGGCCGAGGAAGTGTGGCAGCTGATACGCTTGTGGGCCGGGGATGAGCATGTGACGATGTGATTCCGTGGTAACACAGAGTGACCCTCGGGCTGAGGGAGGGACACTGCAGGCCTGCTGCTTTGCTAAGGATGCTGCTTTCGGGGTTGCCATTGACCTGACTTCCAGAACGATTCACAAGGAGTAGCTTAGCGTGAAAAAGTAGGCGATCTTTTCAACCCAGAGGCGCAGCGCTGCTGTCTGACAGGGAGACATGATGTGAGACAGAGACATAATTAAAAACTTCTCATTCCCCCTCCCCAAACAAAAACCCGCTGAAACTGATTTTAATAATTTAACATAAAAAGTCAAAAACATGTCCATATGTAATCAGCATGGAAATTATGGAGATACTTTATATATATTTTTTATATTGTCTCCAAAATTTGGTATGTATTTTACACTTAAAATGCATTTCAATTCAGATGCTAGTTTTTCAGAAGACATATTTAATTTGTATTTAGATTTCATAAAATTTACTGTGGAAAAACAGACTATATACTCAAGTTTTTCGAAACATCTTAAACATTTTCTAACAATTGAATTAAGTACCCACTTTTACGTTCAATTAAAATTAAATTAGAAATCCGGTTGTGTAGTTGTATTATCTACATTTTACGAGCTTAGTAGACCCATGTGGTTAGTGGCTTCCATATCAGACAGGGCCGATATGAAAAGAATCCTTTATCTATCAAATTTTAATCTTCCCTTCCCCCTGACATGCTGTTATTTTTCACCTAGAAACACGTTTTCTCCACAAAGTCTCCTTGAGGGCTTTGTTTAGGTCAGGCTCATACAAGCGAGAGGCAATGTGGATTTTACCCTCCCTTATCTGAAATTTGAGGGAACTTTTATGAAGCTTTAATTTTCTGGATATTTTTAGTTCTCTAATTTGCTGGTGTGCACTTAGCTCAAGAAGTTTTTATAAGATTGCAACTGTGCCGGTATCAACTATTTCTAATGGGCCTTTTCCCTTTGAATGAACAGTCATAGGAACTGCTTGCTGGGTAGGAAACTCACACAAAGTGGTCAGGACCCACTTTTTCCACCTGTCGGATTGGTGAGAGCACGGGGAAATGGAAAATTTCCACTTTCGATGGGTGTGTGTCCAGATAGAGGTCACACCCACTTTTATCCAGCAATTCCATTTCTGAGATTTATCCCCCAGCAATACTTGAACAAGTGGACAGAATTAATGCAAAATGTTTCTTCTAACACTATTGCTCATGGTTCAATAAAAACAACCCACATAGGCCTATCAGCGTGAGTTTAGTTGACTAAATTTTGCCAGGTCCTTACCGGGGAAGACCTCGCTGCTGCTGAAGACAGATGTGGATGTACTGAGTTATCTTTTCGCTACAGACGTATACAGTCATCCCCTTTGTGGAGCGACACATGCTTCTATGTGCTTTAAGATTCTCTAGGATGTGCACGAATCTTAACAGTGGGGTTGGAAAGTGGGTGATGAAGCAAGGGGAATTCCACCTTTCACTTTATCTTTCTGAATTGTTTGAGGTTTTTTTTTTTTTTTACATAATTAGCATGTATTGCTTTTATAATTAAAAATTAGCAACCCACCTATCAAGCGTGGACCTTGTTTTGACCCTGATTCGAGCAAACAAGTAAAAAGATATTTTAGAGACATCCGGGGAAATGTAGTTCTAAATTGTATGTTTGATGATCGAATGTCTACTGTGTCGGGTATGAAAATGGTGATGTGATCGGTTATCATGTAGGTCGAGTGACTTCAGGAAGAAAGGCAGATGCGTAGTTAGGCAAGCATGGCGAGTCCTTGTTAACTGCTGGGTGTGGGTGATGGTGTGCGGTTTCATTATCCTGGCCTCTTTACTGTTGTATTTGAAAACTTTCGTGATAAAAGTTTTTAAAACCATGAGGAACTGTTAGACCCCAGCTTCCAGACAGTCTACAACAGCCCTGGAACAGATGGTCTCGGTGAGCGGTAAGCTTCCCACGCCGGGAGTGTGAATGTGCTGGAAATTGCTGTAGAAACAATTCCTGCCCTAGGAGGACATTTGGACAAGATTAAGGCAATTTCCCTACCCCCAACTAATTTCAGAAATAACCCGGTTACCTACTTTTAAGGCATAGAGGGGACAAAATGTCAGACTACTTACAGCTACTCTCGTGGACTCGACAGTGAAAAGGCAACGTAAGAATGGGAGAAAGAATTTGCAAATCAAGGATCTGAAAAGAGGTTACTATCTAGACTATACAGAGAACTCCTACAGCTTGACAGCAGAAACCCCAAACAACCCAATTTAAACATGGGCAAAAGTCTCAAATAGACAGTTTTCCACAGGTGTGAAAATGGCTGAAAGCACGTGAAAATGCTGTGGAGTAACGTTAAGTACAAGCCTTGACGAGGACGTGGGGACACTGGAACCTTGTGTACTGCTGGGGGAAATGTAATATGGTGCACCCGCCGTGGAAGTGTGGTGGTTCCTTAAAAACTTAAAACTTAAAAGCATTAGCGTATGATCCAGCCCTGCCACTTCTGGTGTCTATCCAAAGGAACCGGAAACAGTCTCCAAGAGGCATCTGGACACCCACGTTTACAGCGGCATTATTCACAGTAGCCAGGAGGACGAAGCAGCCCTGTACTGACAGGTGACGGGTAAACAAAACATGGCCCATCCCCACAGTGGACTATCAGCCTCAAAAAGGAAGATGATCCTGACACCTGCTACACCACGGATGAACCCCGAGGACATTACGCTGAGCGGAATGAGCCAGTCGCAAAAAGACACACTGTGATTCCACTTACAAAACGTATGTAGACTGTCCAATACAGAGACAGCAGAGGCGGGTGCCAGGTGCTTGGAGTGACCCTTTCCCAGGGTTTAAAATAACCAGTGTTTAATAAGGTTACATTTTTCAGTAGGTGGATGTCAAAAAAAATTACCCTTGGTCCACGTGACTGATATGGTACAAGCGATTGATCACGTGGGACATCCACATGCGTTTTTCTCTAATATTTATTGAAGACCTATACCGGTTCTGTGCTATATGCTTGCCTGAAATTAGCTCAGAACTCCGAATGAGTAGACACCATTTTTAGTCCCACGTGTGGAAGAGGCACGAAGAGGTTGATGAATGTGCACAGGGTTTCACAGGTGTGAGGGGCTGAGCAGGGCTTCGATGCAGGCTGTGCGGCCCCGGCACCTGCGCTCTGCTGAGCAGTGGGCCAGGCTCAGCAACCTGCGCCTCCTTCCTGCCGGAGCAGACTGCGTCCCTAACCCCAACCCCACTGATGGTGAGGGCACTGAACACGTATCAAAGGAACATTTATTAACTTAAGTTGTACCACGTGTCGATTTTAGTCAAACCAAAAAATTTACATGAAAATGTAATTAAATCTGTAAGGTTCCATCCAGCCTGAACGCCATAGGATAGGATGGCCTGGACAGGACAGGAGACTTGACATTCACTTAAAACAAGAGTAATTAAAATAAACTAAAAAAATAAAAGGAGTAAAATGGCTCCAAATCCATTCTGAAGGAATGCAGACCCGTGGAGCCTGGGCTATGCCCGCCAGGCACTGTGGCTGACCAAACGACGTGCTGCCCAGGACTCGGCCCCAGTGCTGGCTTCCCTGTTATTAAGGCAGCGGTTTTAGGATCCTTGTTATCAAGTTCAAACACAATGCCAGGGCGGATGCACTGTCGGCGTGTGGCACACGGCAGTCTGGGAGCTGCAGTCACTCTGCAGTAGCTGCCTGTGCTTTGGCAGCATTTTCCAAAATTTTCCTCTTCCACTCTTCATAATCCTGTGTCTGGTCTTCATCTTTCTGCGGTTTATGCGGGATCTCTACTACCTTCTCCCTTTCTGGGAAAGAAAATTTTCAACGGTGTTTCAAAATCCTCATGCTTACAAATGGAGTAAGAAAAAAAGCTTGTTTAAAGTGTTCACTTTAATTATTAAGGTAATAGAGAATAAGATACTGAAATGAAAAGTAGAAACAACAGCTAACGCAACTGCGTTTTGCTCTCAGGTTCCAAGATTCCGAGACATCAAGGTGAGAGCTAACACTTACGGGCACTTACCTGGTGCTCAACAGGCACTGAACCAGGCCCTTACTAGTGTTGTCTCGTTCAACTCTCACGATCCTATGGAGTGGATTAGCTAATACTAATCACCTTTCACAGATGTGGGAACTGAGGCTCACTGGAATTAAATGACGTTCCTAAAATTACAGAGCCAGTAAGCGGTGAAGCAGGATCTGGACCTAAGTTTGGCTTTAGATGTATTCTTAATTACGTGAAATCTCTGCGGGCTTCTGGGAGTGAAGCAAGAGCACAGGACCGCTCCCTGCACCAACCCCTCTGCACCAATCCCAGGGTTCGGCCAGCGTGAGCTCATCTTACCCTTTGCTAGAGGCTCAGCCCCTGCCTTCTTTCTCTTCCGTGGTGGAGCAGCTGAATCTTGAGACTCTCCTTTAAGAAAAAGTGAGTGTCATCGGATTAATTTTTCTTCTATTCTCAATTTTAGTCTTTGGGTCTATTTTGGATGACAAAAACTGGATACCTTGACTGATCAAATACTAGGACTAGGGTGAGAAGGCAAATGGCCTTGACCTTCTCTTTTCTCTGACTTTCCCTGCCAGACTTGAGAATCACTTCTAGTCTAGCTTACATAAATGGAGGCTGGCATTTAACGCTGAAGCGTGTTAACTCAGAATCTATTTCCCAGGCATGGGTTCATAAATCACAGGTTTTAAAAAGTTATTAAGCTACTTTAATTGAAAAAAACAAAACAAAACAAAACAAAACATTTTCTCACTAAAGACTTATCTGGTCCACATTAAAACAGATTTCAGAAATCAGCCATTTTGCAAGTTTGGAAATATTGGACTTCTACCAGTGGGTTTACGTATTCGAATGACACATCGTTAAACTATGGAATGGATACTCACTGTTGAGCTGCTGCCCGAGCTTCTCTAATTGTTTACACAGTCGATCAAATATGGCTTTTTTTACTCCAGATGTGGCTACCATTTTATTTTTATCCACCTTTAGCTTTAAAATCCTACAAAAGAATTTGATAAATGACTCTTTTGAGAACCAGTACAACAGTTTTTGTTTTAAATTACTGGAAAATCACAAATGGCCACTGTTTCGGTGACAGACTTCATCAATTATAAAAGGTGGACCCTGAACTCAGAGCACTCAGCTTATACACAGAGCTGCCACTTGCCAAGTGACTTCCGGCGACGCTAGTTCCAAGCTGTATCATGGGGTAAAACGAGAATATGGTAACTTGGCCATTATTCTTAATAATATTTATATGGGAAAATACGCTAAGCCGAAACAAACTAAACCAGAAGTGCTACTTGGGACTGAGCAAACCATCCGTAAACGGGGCTTCCAAGTGTGAGAAGACACACTTACTTGCATGCTGAGAGCAGCGCGGCGCTGGTGAAAAGCGGCCTGGATAAGTCAAGACCCTCCTGCTGTGTCTGTGGGAGACTGGACTCGTAGCTAAGGGAAGGCAGCGTTTGCAGAATTACTTGTTAGAAAATATTATTTCAAAGAGACTGAAAATGCAAATCAGAACTTCAAAGCTATTTAAATGTATGAGATAAACATTGTCGCTTTAGCGTATCGGTTAATTAACACGACACTGGATATTGTGTTTTATGTATCAGTATAAAATTTCAATTGTGGTTCCGTACGCCTCCGACCTTTGCAGTAACGTTGCAGCCGTGCTCACGGCTTCGGTACAGCTGAACTGCACGGCGAGGTCTCTTATTCCGATGTTTGAACTCAGGCCCAGTAAACACTCGAAAGATTTAAGACAGCTCAGATACGTCCTCTTGTTCAAACCAGAAAGTTTAGTTAAATAAGCCTTTGAAAGGAAATACACACACGAATCATCAAAAACGTAAGTTTTATATATTAGTGCCTCGACTTTTCAAAATTAATTTTGTGGCAAGTCGCTCTACTTAAAGGCTTCGCTTCGTTTAGTCGAAGACCGGTAGTCATGTCAGGTAAAGTACTGCTCTCAGCGAGCTCATACTTTAGAAAGGCAGCCTGGCCTGTGCACAGACGATTGAGAAAACAACGCATAAAAAACTTAGATGCAGATAGAGTCACCAAGTTTCCACACGGGGACAATGTGCAATTCAGTGGGGAATGGCAGGAGGAAGACTGGGCTGGGGCGCGGTGGGTGGAAGGCGGAAGACAGAGAACACGGGGGGAGAAATGGGAGCACTCTCCCTAGAGGATGGAGTGAGGCAGAGGCACGAACGACACAGCTCGCCACAGAACATTCCAGGCTGGAAAAGAAGCTGCTGCACTAACAAAGCCATTAAAGTGCACGGCCCGCTAAGGGGAGACTGTAGCTTGCGGTCAGTGTTCAGGAGAAGCCGGAGTTTGATGGTGGTGGGGAGCCAACCCGCTGGGAGCCAAGGGCGATTTTAATGCCACCAGTTAATGACAGTATCGTTCTGGGACAGGTACTGTGCTAAGTGTGTTACGTGCACCCCACTGTCCAATCTTCACAACGATCTAGCGAGTGGATATCCTCATCCCATTTTACGGATGAGGAAACTGGAGACTCACAGAGCTAATAACTGGTGGTGTTGGGATTTGTTCTCAACACCCCACAGCTTGTGCTCAACCACCGTGATGCTGGCAGGAAAACACACATGGGATTTAAAGTAGGTGTCTGAGGAGGAGGATGCTAGCGGCGGCGTGGCAGATGGCCTCGGGGAACAAAAGATGTGGCCAGGGAAATCGGTGAAGAGAATGCTGCAAAAAATGTTTTCCCTCCAACTCGACGAAATAGTTTCAAAGTTTATCTAGGATAGTAACAGGATAATATCAGCTCCCAGGTTTCGGCACCAAAAAACCAAAAAAAAACCCCAAAAAACCCCACACACATAATCATAGCCATGAAGATTTTACAACACAGGAGTTTTGATGGGGTGCATCCAATCAGAAACTGACATGTGCGATTAAGCCTTGATGTTGCGCTGGGTCAGACATTTGCAGGCGCCCACTCACCCTGTCCAAGGGACACTTCATACAGGAAGCCGCCAGGTCCAGGCACATGACGGCATTGCTGGTCTCCGTGGTATGTGCAGACAGGCCAGCGCACTTCACCTGGGACAGTCGCAAGTACTCTTCTGCTTTCCTGGGTTACGAGGGCAACATGTTCACGAAAACCCTTTTCCAGAAGTTGGCCCAACGCTTTGGTAAACAGCAAATGCAGCCTGGTGACTTCATTCTGAGCCCAACTCCCGTGCACATTTATGGGGCCGAGAATGCAACTCCCAGCCTTTGGGGAGGTTGGGGTTCTCCGACTCCAGACAGCACTATGCTCAAGGACTTTCAGGCACAAGTAAGTCCCTCAATTCCCCCCCAAAACGACCCTGCGTCCATCCTTCCACTAGGGAACAATTGTGAACTACCACGGAGGCTGGCAGGTGACACCAGGTTTCCTTTCCTTTATCCCTTCCCCTAAATCGGTGGTCCTCAAACTTTAACGTACAAGACAATCGCCTCCGGGTTTGTGAAAACAGATGGCGGGGTCCCACCCCCAGAGTTTCTGATCAGCAGGCTGCGCGGTGGCCCGAGAAGCTGCATTTCTAACAGGCGTCATTTGTACGGCAGCCCGTGGCCCGGGGCCGCACCTGGGGACTCGCCGTCCTTAAAGACAGCGAGGCCACGCAGTCTTCCTTGTTATCTTTTAAGAAGCGCCCCTCCCCGGTCCCCCCGGCCCAGGGCTTTCGCAAAGGTGTTGCCTCTGCTTGGCACCTTCTACTCAACCCTAATGGCATCCCGGGCGCGCCCCACCACCCACCACCCGCGCAGCACGACGCCCCGCTTCGCGCTACGCAGAGTCGTTGCCCTCACAGGCAGAGGCCCCCCAGGGGGTCTGCACCCCGTCTGTCCGGGTCACCGCCCCAAACAGAGCCTCAGCCAGCATCTGGGGGATGGGCGAGGTACTCCAGCTCCTCCCGCCACCGTGCGTCCCACGGGGCCAGTGGTTCCGAGGGACGCCTACAGTCGTCGCTTCTTGCCGCCTGGGAAGGTTCTCGAGATGGGACCTAACCCCGCTGGCAGATGCTGCCTCCCCGGGGAGGGCCCGGGGCGCGAGGGGCCGGACTCACCTCAGCACGTCCGGCTCGGCGATGCCCAGGCGCGACGCGAGGCGCGGGATGAGCCCCGACTCCATGGCGCAGCCGAGAACAGGCGCGCACACAGGCGCAGCGACGAAACCCGCGCGCCGACGCGGCGCCGGCCAGTGAGGGCCAGGCCCCGCCCCCCTGCTGTAACCGGATTGGTTGGGACGGGAAACGTGGGACCGCCCCATACACCACACCCGGCCCTCCTCCTGCGCATGCGCAGTGCGAGGGCACACTCCCGGGAAGAGGGGGAACGTGGCC